TGGGTACTTCCCAGTCTAAAAAATACCCTCGCCCTAATCCAGGGGAGACTTGCAAGCAGTATGTTGCTAGAATTGGTGAACTGGGGGATTATTTAGTGGATCCTTGGGTGGACAATATGTCAGAGTGGACACAAGGACAAGGTAGTGAAACTCCCTTCCCTAAAGACGGGGCTAATGATGATTATTTTCTGGTTAAGGGATTATGTTTGGGAGATAAGAAATCTTTTCCTTGGTATGAGGGAGATCCAGGATGGGACAAGGAATACATGAGACAGGGGGGTGAGAATTGGCTTAAGATTGCACCTCACTGGTACCCTGTTTCCCAAGAGGGGAAAAGGATAAAAAAGAATAAAAAATTAAAGCGACTGTTGTTGATACCTGCAAATCACTGCCCCCTCCTAATTACACTCCATACTATAGCCCACTATATCCCAGCCTGCCACATAAAGATGATGATGATTTGGTTCTTGCTGTAGCAGTTAGATCACAAGGTGTAGCCACTGCCCATTAAGCTCCATTTCTACCTCTCCCCAAGATGAGAAGATTAAACAAATCCAGCGAAGGTCCCCTAAGGGTATCCAAACTAGGTATAAGAAAAGGATGGGACTGGGTGTAAAAAGAATAGATAAAGATGATGATGAGGAAGAAGAGGAAGAAGAACCTATCCTTTTCTGACTGTAGGAGATCAATTCATTTTGAAACCTTTAATTCCAGGAGAATTAAAGGACATAATTAAGGGAGCTCCAAATCCTAGAACAAATCCCTCTGCATGTATTATGTATTTGAAGAGAACGTGCCAAGGACAAAATATGACACAGATTGACATAAAGTTAATTATTGACGGACTATTAGATTATGACTCAGAATCTGGGTGGGAATGGAGTAGGGTGCCCACTGTGAGTGTCCCACTTGATGGAACCACAGTGAGTACTTATCCATTAGCCACGGAAAAAGGGAGAGCCATTATGTGGGATGAAGTGAAAACAGAGATGATAAGATTGTGGAAAGACAAGAAGTATATCTCCACTGCTTTGTCCTGTAAACAGGGCACAAAGGAGACAGACGTAACAGATTTCACTAAAAGGTTTTATAAATGTTTTAAAGATGAAGCTGGACTTGGTTCAGAGGAGAGTGGTATGGGTTCTTTAAAAATACAGACTTGCATTGGGAATATGCTTACAGCATATTCACTGCTAGTTAAACAGCTGATTTCAGAGTGGTCAACTTTAACTCCAGTTAAATTCTTGCAAAAAATACATGAGAGAGAAGCAGCAGGTTGTTTTGCTATAGGTAAAGATGGAAAGAGTATGTTGTATCAATGAAAGGGTTTACAGCATTGTGACCCTAATCAGGCAAGAGAGAGAGGTTTTGGAGGTCATAGGAGATTAAACCAAAGAGGATTTAGGGGTCCAAGGGGAAGAGGACGTGGAGGAAATAGGTCCCAACCATTCATTAATAGAAGGACACATTGTTTTAACTGTGGACGGCAGGGACACTGGAGGAATGAGTGTCCCAACCCTATCAGACAACAGACTGGACAAGCCCCAGGTTACCAGGGTCCCTCACGGATACCCCATCAGTCCCACTACCCAGCATCGCTCTCCTGCCCCTAATACCCCCTCTGGCCCTAATACTCCTTCAGGCCCTACCCATCACATCCAATGTCCATAGGGCTGCCCAGAAGGTAACACTCCAGTTTTTCCTGTATTATCTTCTAGCTTTATGGAACAACCCATTCATAGTCCTCAATGTAAATGAGCTCACACTCAAGGTAGGGATGATATATCCCTAGGCAATGCACTAGCAGATAGAATTGCCAAAGAGGTAGTGCCTTGGACCATTTATTACCGTATGATATTTCCAATTTTTAGTCCTCCTACCTGCCCAGAAAAACAGTTCTTGCAAGAACTTCAGGGTTTTGCAACCCATGAGGATATTGCGTATTGGAAAACACAGGGCTTGGAAAAAGACCAAAATGGCCTTTATTCCAAAGAGGGGAAGATAGGGATACCATAAAGTAGTGCCCCTATTTTTATTTCCCAGGCACACAGAGTGGGTCACAAGGGTCTTAAGGTCACTTTGGGCCTTATTCAACAACATTTTGTAATTTTAAATCTCTCTCTCCACTGTCAGGTATAGTTACAGAGGTGTGTCCAATGCTTACAGACCAATACAACTGTCACACACAAGCCTAGACACGAACACCTCCCACCACCTACAAGCCCTTTCACCCATTTACAGGTAGATTTCACACACATCCCCAAGACAGGTAAGCGACAACAATACTTAATGGCGATTGTGGATCACTTCTCTAAATGGCCCGAGGCCTTTGTTACTAATAAGGAGGATGCTAGGACTGTGGTGAAAATACTGACCACTGAAATTATTCCTCGGTATTGCTGTCTATTACAGATCAATTCTGATAATGGCCTGCCTTTGCTAGCAAAGTTACACAGGAATTGGCCAAATGGTTACAGGTTACCTGGAAATTCAATGTACCCTACCACCCCCATAGTTCAGGTATAGTAGAGAGGATGAATAGGACAATTAAGGAAAAACTGATGAAGGCCACAGATGGCACATGGGTTCACTGGCAAACATACTTACCCGCTATTCTAGCTGAAATAAGAATGACTCCTAACAGGACTACTAAATTGTTACCATTTGAGATACTCATGGGAAGACCATTTCCTACTCCTTGGGTGAAGGGACGATTTGTTATTATGCCTGGTGATTTAGAATTAATCCAGGAAGAGTATGTTAAACAGTTAATTTTTAAACTCAACTCTGTATATGGTGATGTTTCCGTGCAGTTTCCTCTACCCTCACAGGAACCTACACATCCTTACCAGCCTGGGGATCTGATCTGTATCCGATAGCTGAACAAGAGCAGGAAGGGAAAGTTTCCTTTTGGCTCGCCTACCACTGTGATTGCCGTGACCCGAACCGCTATGCTCACCGACTCCCAAGATACCTGGATCCATGCATCCCGTCTGAAGCCGTGTCCAAAGAGGGGTGAGACAAGCTCAAGGCCCTTATTACTATTGGCCCTGACGACCCAACATCCTGTTTTTCAACAGTGTCTGCTCTGCAATTTTGCTGATATATTAATAGAGCAAAAAGAACTGGTCCAACAGCACTAGCAACTAAAGCATTGCAGAGGCTACTTCAAAGGAAGGGATGGCCAATATGCTTGGATGCCCAGGATCCAAGGTTCTGACAAAGCATTACATTCTATTCCATGATACCAAGGTTCTGGGCCATAGTTTTACATTGCATTGATGAACTACATTTACTACATAATATGCTGAAGGAGGCCAGTCTCCATGCATAACTGAGTCACAGTGCATATGTTATAAATCGGTTTAAGGGAAGATAGAGCAGGTGAACTATTTTCAATGAACACAAGAAGGTCAGTGTGCGAAGGTCAGTGATTATTAGTGGTTCTAATACTTTCAAGAACTCATAGAATCTCGATCAACGGACAAAAACATTACATGTTTACAGATGACCTAATCTAACCAAAGACTCTTGGCAAAAAAATCAGAGTCCATGAAGATGTGTTGAAGCTTGATTGGATCCAAATAATAATAATAAGTATAAATAAGGTCACTTTAGAAGTTTTCTGTTCATTGCTTCACACTTCATTTGAGATATCCTACAGCTTGGAAAAGGCAGAAATAGGGTAGAAGAGGCTGAACAAGATAAAGAGATAACCAGAGAAGGATTAAGATCCCATGGGGCCCTAGGCCGGTTACCGGTTTGGGGGCCCTCTTCATTCCTTGCATAGGAAAGGTTAATAGGTTAATCAATCATGGTTCCGGGGCCCCTGTCTAGATAGTTCATTTAAATGCACATGCACTAATTAGGTAGGATATAAAAACATAATGGGGGATGGTTTAAATGTTAAAAAGGAATTAAAATCAAATGTTATGGGAATGGTATGTGATGATACAGCAGAGAAAGTGGGATGCCTTATCAGTAGAATTGTTCATGAAAGATAACAGTAACTTTTCAATAACAGAAGAAATATATAGCAATATATAATATACCTTATGCAATTTCAGCCATTGAACATGAGCCTGCATTGCCTTACTAAGCTATGCAGGAGAAGACCGGAAGCAAAGTCTGTGGCTGATCGTACCCGGAAAGACCCAGGCACTCTTGGCACCATAACCACTACAACGTGCTTGAAGACTTGGAGACTACGTCTAATCCTTTTATGGGAAACTAGCTTTTACCTGATTAGATACCGATTAGCTTATGCTCTCGTAGATAAATGTTCTATACAAAACTTACAATTGGCATCTATAAATTGGCAATAAATGAATTGTGAATACATATTCATCAATCTCTTTATAAACTTTATAAACTGAAAATATATTTTAATTGAAAATCTTCCAATTAAACCCTGCTTAGAGAATATAAATTGCAAACTTCTTAATTCACAGTAACAGTTATATATGCACAAACAATATGACTTTATTAGATGGATGAATGATCAAGTTCCCATCATTTTTTAAGAGTAATGATTAAGAGATAGCCAACATAATTAGCCAGCAGGCATTCCGTGCTGATTTAATGCCATCATTAAAAATTGATGAGGTCTACTGTATTATGTTGACCTTATGGCATGAACTGCAAATGCTCATTATAGATATTAAATAATAGAAATCAAATGTACACAAAATGCACTGTTAGGTCTATATAATATAACTTTAGTTGGAAATAACACAACTATACATGAGGCATACTTGAAAACTTTAGAGTGATCTCAATGCATTCTAGTAAAAACACTATTTTAAAATTAGGTAAACAAATATATTACAAAATAACTAATTCGTAGTTGTCAAATTGACATTTTAACTAGTGATGTCCCGAACGGTTCGCCGAACGGTTCGCGAACGGTTCGCGAACGGTTCGCCACGAACTGTTCGCCACGAACGGTTCGCCACGGATTCATCATTGAGTAAACTTTGACCCTGTACCTCACAGTCAGCAGACACATTCCAGCCAATTAGCAGCAGACCCTCCCTCCCAGGCCCTCCCAGACCCTCCCACCTCCTGGACAGCTCACTAAGAATGCAGCTTCAAAATGGATGCTGTCCAGGAGATGGGAGGGCCTGGGAGGGAGGGTCTGCTGCTGATTGGCTGGAATGTGTCTGTTGACTGTGAGGTAGAGGGTCAAAGTTTACTCAATGATGAGTCCGTGGCGAACCGTTCGTGGCGAACCGTTTGTGGCGAACCGTTCGGGACATCACTAATTTTAACTCTTCACATTTTAGCAATTTTTGTTTTACAAAAATACATGAGTAATTTATTTGAAACATGGGTTGATTAGCTATCGCATAAATGTGAGATAAAACAGTTTTGTGCATACAGTTATTTAAAATGAAATGTATGAAAAGTACTAAAATTTAAATTAACACTCATTTAAAATCAATATATTTACTTTTAATATTAGCATTATTATTATTTTTTTTGCATTATATTCAGGGTACCCACTGCTACAGATTTTGGAATAGGTAAAAGTCGCAGGATGTTCAAAGACACTTTCAGCATTCTGTGGCTTTTACCTATTCCAGTTGGGACATGCTCCTCTTCTGAAGCTGTGCTATCCTTTCCACTACACTACATTACCAGGAATCCAGAACCCGAGTGAGGTGGAAGGAAGATAACTTTAAAGAACATCTTAAAAGTTTTGGAGGGCTATTGGACCTGTTTACATGCCCTTGTGGCAGAGTGTTTGTGAGTGCAATATTATCCTCTTTTTTATATTGTTATTCTGTACGTTTTTACACTATGTTATGTTCTCTATATGTTTTTTAAGTGATTGAAGCTGGAAAATACCTCCATTCCTAACTTGGAAATAGTGTAATACCAGCATTAACCAGGGAACTGAATACCAGTGTATGTATACCATTTAATTGGTGATTCTAACATGCCTTTGTTCAGCACACCACACCAATTTTGCTTGCTTGTTGTTTCTGTATATCACAGTTTTGGAGTTACTGAGGTGTAGGTGTCCGCTAGGGTACTTACCCTCTCCAGGGGCCGGGTGAGGTCCTCTTTCCCCGCCGCACGCGGTCCTGCAACTGCAACCGACAGGGAGACCCGGAAGGCGTGCACTGACCGTGAGATGCGGCCACGTGACTCGCCTGGCACTGGGAACGCGCCGCACGTCTCGGGCGTGCTTTTAAAGGGACAGTGGGAGCCGAAAATCAAAAAGGTCTCCCATTGGCCCATGTCATTCCACATTCCCCATACACTCATGTTTTGGGGGCGTGGATATGACAGGGGCCAATCAAATTAAACTATAAGGTATTTATACTCACCTTTCCCTTAGCTCCCTGCCCTATCGTGGTTTCTGATTCATTTCCCTTTAGTGCTTGCTTCATGTAGTAGTGTTTTTTTCGTGCTTGACCTTGGCTAGTGCTTGACTTTCGTGCTTGACTTTTTCTCTTTATCCCTGCTTTGTCTTGTTCGCCGGTTTCCTGACTCCTGTGTACCAGTCCTTGGCTAGTTCTTGTTTTCGCTGTCTTTCTGTTCCCTTGACCTCGGCTCGTTCTTGACTCTGTCTTTTCCCTGTCTACATCGAGTCCAGCCATTTTAAGGCCCGGTAAGACGTATCTTGTTATCTTGTTTCTCGTTGGACTAAATCTTACTTGTTGGGGTATACTACCGTGACAGGTACACACTATATTTTCTGTATTTTCATGTTATAGTAATTCCAGTTATATATGTCATAATTTTTCATCTTGCATATCATGTAGAAAGGATGTTTTGAAATATAAAATGGCAGGACAAAGTGTTTTGTAAAAAAAACCTTTAACTCATTATCTATATCTCAAAGCCAGATAATTTCTAGATGGTTATTAAAGTTTATCACTATTTGTAACCCTTTTATTAATGCATAACTTCCTGCTATGAAAATAAATGCTTTCTCAGCAATATGAATATTAAGGGAATTATAGGCACATTATCTTTATTATCATTAAAGTAGTAGAAGGAGAGAGTGACTTGGGGTATAGAGACAAGAGAACTAAGGAGGACAAGTGTAATGAAAGAAACGTCACCATGGTAGATGGTAGAAGTGTATTTTATGTGACTTCTTAAAGGACTAAAAGGTAGGGAAGAGTATGATGGCACAAGGAATGCAATTTCAAAGGGACAGGGCAGCTTATCTGATTCAGGAGATGTTCGCTCACAGAGTGAAGGTAACACGAGTTTGAAGGTAACAAGTATTTGTTAAGTAACAAGGAAATTTAGTGCGGTGTGGAGTTATTAATCGTTTTGCAGGTTAGTATTAGCAGTTGAATTGGATAGAGGTCAGGGGAGGAGACGTAAATCTGAGTATTGTCAGCATATAAATGGCATTGCAATTCAAAACAGTTAATAAGGTTACTGAAAGAGGCAGTGGCAAGGAGGTGGCACTGGAGAAGAAGACACTAAATGACTGTTGAGAAAGATAGTATGAAAACAGGAAAGTACATAGTTATGGTGACCAAGGTTGCGTAAATTTGAAGAGACTGGCAGAAAGGCGGCTGAGAAGTCGAGGAGTAGATTTTGCAGTGATTAGTCACTTTGGTAAGGAAAGTTTCAGCAGACTGGAGGAAGTAAACAGAATGGAAGCAGAGTATTGAAGGAGAGGAGGAAAGAGGGTAGATTGCATCCCTAATTTGGTAATCTTATCAGTAAAATGACATGCAAAATCACTAGCTGTAAGAATAATTAATGGCAAGCTTGCAGTAGTGCATAAGTTAACAGTATGAAAAAGATGTTTAGGACCATGAGAGTAGGTGGAGATGAGAGAGTTAAAGGGAGGCAAGGGAGAGGGCAGACATATAGGAACATTGCATGAATTTGTAATGTAGAAGGTTGGTTAGGTGTGGTGTGAGACTTTCTCCAAACAATGTTCTTCATTACGGGAGCATTGTTGGACATGGCAGGTGAGCTTGTTGTTCCTGGGTTGAAGGTGTGGCTGGCGCTTAGAGTGAGCTTTACTTGGTGCAGCCACATCTACAGCGGTACACAGGACATAATTGTAGAATGAGGCAGCTTGAAAAGGACAGGAGAGAGTTGAGAGAGGAGAAAGTGGAGATTGAAAGAGAAGTGACACAGATCAAGAGGGCTCACGGAGAGAGCCTTGCTGTCAGTCAGGAAAGGCTCAATGAGAGAGCACTTGCTGTCAGTCAGTTACCACAGCGAGCAAATAAAGGAGGGAAGCAGGGGGGGGGTGAACAAATGGAAGGAATGAGACACCTTGAGGGGCTAGAGGGAGGAGGGCATTGGATACATGGAGGGCTGTGGGGGTAGGGAATGGGTCAAAAGGGGATGCTGGGCAAGGAATGGGACACATTGAGGGGCTGGAGGATAGAGAATGAGACCCTAGAGATTACTTTTGGCCATGCATAACTAGACAGTTAGGACCCACCGTAATTGGAGTACTTTGGCACAGTGGTGGGCTGCATACATTTTGGCCATTTAAGTATGTCTAAATATCCAATGTTGATTGCAGATACAGTGCTTGGTTATTTCACATCTTGTTTTGCCTTGTATATCTTGTATTGTTTTATTTTGTCTTGTATTCCCAGTTCATGTACAGTCTTGTCCTGCCCTGTCCATGTCCTGTTCTTGTTTCCCTCTTGTCTTGTGTACATGTTCTGGGTTTTGCTTTTAGTCCTGCTCCGGTTCTGTGCTATTCTAATTTTGTCTTGTTTCTATTACTGGATACATATCTGCTGCAGAGCCTCGCTTTTCAGATCCTGGGAGGTCAGCATTTCATCTAGGATCTGGGATCCACAGTAGTTGCATCAGGGCCCTTGTATGTGGCCGCACAAACCTTGGTGTTCAGACCCTGATTGTCCCATTCCACATTGTAAAAAAACAAAAGTAGTAGGTGCGCAAACAACGATGGAGATAGCAGTGTAAACTAAGTGATAATCAGAACGTTAAAATATGCAAATTGCCACCAACAGGAGCACAATGGTATGTATGTGAGAAAGAAATTTGTACGACCAGAGTAAATACCACACTGTGATAGAGTGGGAGTAATTATGTGACAAACAAATATATACTTGCACTCTTCCTTATTAGTAGGCCTCACTAATCTAAAAAAATGAAAACACGGGGGGCGGAGTCAGCATTGCAGCTGAATGGACGTGTTCTAAAACAGCTCTGACCGAAACAGACACAAATCCGATTTCATCTGGCCCCAAAAATAATGATGGGACACCCTAAACAATTTACAACCTCCAAACAAGCCTCAGGGAAAACTCCATCAGGTAAATCTGGTGATCTAACCAAATATTTCCATGATAACGCAGACAACAACGCGTGCATAGTAGGCCACAACATAGCGCCGGACTCACCTCACTCCAGCTCACCTGCATCTAGCCCGGTGGGATCCAACAGTTCGGAGCCTCCAGCAGAAGGGGAACTTGCCATCAGAGCAGGATATTACCACCATGTTGGGCAAGCTTGAAGCCTCCGTCCAGGCCAAAATAGACGCGATAGGCTCAGACATCCGCCAGGTAACAAACAGAGTTGGTACACTTGAGGATGATCGAGACGCCATGCAGACTCAACTGAGTACCCTGCAGGAATCCGTGGAACATCAAAATGCTTACCCTTCAGCACTCCACAGGTCCCTCAACGACCTTGACAATAGGGGCGCTGCAATAATTTGAAAATTCACGGCCTTCCAGAAAACGAACAGGAAGATATTTACCTAAACCCTGTGTGAACTCTTCCATTTGATACTGGGCAAGCCAAGGGACAACATCATACTCGTGGACAGAGCTCATATGACATTGAAACCTAGGGGCACAGCGTCAGACAAGCCCAGAGATGTTATCTGTTCCTTACATTATCATACAGGGAAGAGATTCTCACTAAGCTGAAACAAGCATCACAACCTCTGCTCTTCCATGAAGCCCCTGTCACCATATATCCAGATCTTTCCTGGTTGACTCCTCAGGCGAGACGGATTCTGAGACCTATCACAGATCAACCACGCTCCAGAAAAAAAGTGATATCACTATTCACTCACATGCCAACATACCACCATTTTTGCAAGCTCTCAATTTGACTGACCAGCACATCCCGGACTGGTATGGACCGCTACAAACCCCAAACTTACCTCAGCTACTGCAGAGTACCC